ATAAAACGAACAAAAAAAAAAAAAAATCTCTCTCTGCAATTCATTTGGGTGAATCTCATAAACTGTCAAGAACATGTACAGGTCATATTACACAAAAAATAAGGTAGTAATAGAAAATGTGATACTTTGCATAAATAAAATAAATCTTTATGTAAAGGTTTTTTTATTTAATACTTTTTATTTAATTTAATAAAAAATAAAAAATAAAAACTTTAAATTTTAATTTTGTCATGACATGTGAACGGATATATTCCTGACAGGTTTCGTGAGATTTATATATTTACTGTAGTGTTTGTTATTAAGACTGCAGGAGAATTCAGGACCTGGCATGTTGAGATCAGAAACAGAGAGGCGTTCGGTGACTGTCTGAGCAGATCAGATCACATCACATCCTGTCAGTGAACAAGGTTGCAAACAAAGTAATCCCTGGAAATGTTTTTTTTTTTATTGGCACAACACTCATCACTATAAAATGCAAATGAATGACTCAAGCATCACATTGGTTGCAGCCAGCAGAGGTGGGCGTGGCTTAGGGGAACATGACGGTCAGAGTATTCAGATACACAAAGACCTCTCAGAACACAGACCGCACTGAGAGAGAAAAAGAGAGAGAGGTATCACTAGAGACCACTAATGAACGGGGAGATGATTGGAGCTTCCTGGCCAGGGTTCAAGGGGGATGAGCGGGCGGAAACCGTCTGTAATGCAGCCCGTGGCAGATGTGTGCAGCTGGAAGAATTTGTGGAAGTGAGGCAGTAAATTAGCTCCTCTCGCTGGCAGTGACACACACTTGAAAACACATGTACATGTGAAGAGAGTTAGGCACACACGTGTGAACACGCAGAGACCACACTCACGCTGCTCTTGTCAGAAGTCGGGGGGATATCCTGCCGAGCTATCTGTGACGTGCCAGAAAACAGCAGCACATATCAGATGAAATACTCACCCCTGCTTCAAAGACGTGTGAAATGCAACTCTGATCATAAACTGCCTTTCAAACCAAGGGTGTCCTCTGGGTCTCCCATTATTTTATATTAAAACAGTGTGCCTACAGGATAGAGCTGGAGCACAAATTCATCCATATATTTTTATATATTAATATTTTTATCTGGCAATTTAATGTCTAAGCGCTTCCACTAGGTGAAATATGTCAGGTGACCTAAAACTCCCTTCTGTAGCATTTTTGATTAATTGTGTAGTAGTAGTCAACATACACTGAAACTATGAGCACTGGCTTCATTTTCAAAGTACTGACTGATGCACAATTTTTTTTTTATCTCATGCTCACAAACGCTGCATTCATTTTAATAAAACAACAGTAAAAACAGTAATATTGTGGAAATATTATTATAATTTAAATGAACTGTTTTCTATTTGAATATATTTTAAAATGTAATTTATTGCTGAGATGCAAAGCTGCAATTTCAGCATCATTACTCCAGTCTTCAGTGTCACATGATCCTTCAGAAATCATTGTAAAATGCTGATTTGCTGCTCAAGAAACACTTCTTTTCTTATTATTATCATTGTTGAAAACAGTTGGGCTGCTTAATATTTTTGTGGAAACCATGATAAATAGAAATAGAATTAATAGAAAGATGAAAAACGTCTTTATTGTCACTTTTGATCAAAAAAAAAAAAAAAAACTGTAGTGTAATTGAGCCAAATATTTTTTTGACAGGAAGTGAACTAAATCATGGGAAAACAACCAGATCTGAAACTGACCCCAAAAAGTATTTGGAAACTTGCATCACACTTAAAAAATGTATCAATGTCATTGCATGAGGCAGTCATGGTTCCTGAAGCATTCTTTTCATTAATTTTCTCTGTAGTAATAAACAAAACTTCAGTAATGAGCTCTTAGGAACCAATTCAACCAGTTTCTCAGATGAATCACAACATTACAAACTCTGATTTGAAGTCTCAAAAAGTATAGAAAAATTTGGAAAAATAAGACCAAGATAAATGACTGTGGAGGAATGAACTACAATTCCATCAAAATACTGCAATGTTGCCAATCGTTTCATAAAATAAAGACTTGCATTTACACATTTCTGTCGTTAAAGCTTTCAAGTCAAGTTGTAAGGTTTGTCTGATCCATTCCAGTATAAATAAGGAGACCCAGTTCACACTATCAGCTTTAAACAACAATCCCTAATGACTGTTTTCTTCTTCTGTGAAATATGATCATTAATAATCTGCTGTGATATTCATAAAACTAACATACTAACCGTTCCATCCTCCGTGAGTTTAAGACAGGAGCCAAAATCTGCCAGTCGAATGTGTCCATTCACATCCAGCAGAATGTTATCTGGCTTGATGTCTCTGTCAGAGAGAAAACAGAAAGACACATTAATACAAAAAAAAGATTTATGTTAACATCATATGGATTTGGAAGAAGTTGTTAAAAGCTTCCACGGTTGATTCGAATCCCAGGTAACACTCACACTGATTACTTTGAATGCAAAGTAAGTTGCTTTGGATAAAAGTATCTGCAAAATGCATTAACATAATTGTAAATATTGCCGTTATTTTATTTGGTTTACATGGAGCAAGGCATGTTACGGCTTGCTGCTTCAATTTACAACCTTAGAGCCACTTCAAGTCCAGTGCGCATTAGGGGTGGGGGAAAAAATCGATACAGCATAGTATCGAACAAGTTTTGCCAATTCATTGTTATGATGAAAAGTTGGACTGTGACTTAAGGATGACGAATCACCCAAGGGTAGTTGACGTCATTATCTGCTTAAAGCTGTGCAGTGAGGATTAGGGGTGGGGGGAAAAATCGATACAGCATAGGATCGCGTTATTTTCCGTGGCAATACTGTATCGTTACACTGATGCCAAGTATCGATCTTTTTATTATAATATATATTTTATTATATATATTATAATAAAATATTTGATTATATTATAATATAATAATAAAATAAATTTCTTTACAATCCACTAGATGGTGGTGTTGAGTTTTTTTCTGGTGAGGTCAGCTGGGTCGCCTTCAGCATGCAGTTAGTAAAATAAAGAGGGCGGCATAGCGGAAAGTTATCAGGAAAGCCCCGTCCGTGTTTAAATCGGACGTATGGACTTACTTCGGATTTGTAAACAAGGAGGGGATGTAAGTAGGGATGCACCGAAAATATAGGCTACATATAATAATAATAATAAATATGATTATTATTCATATATATTGCATTTATTATTTTATTAAATAATATAAAGTAATTTAAAGCATTGCGCCCCGCCCGGCAGTGTTCAGCACACATGTTTCACTCCCCTCATCACTGCGCGGTTTGATGCTCCGCTCAATATTCCGATCTATGAATGTGTGTTCCGCTCGTGTACTGCTCATGCTCATCGGAAAAGCAAAGTCCGCTCAAATAACGCGCTGACAGGAAATTTCTATGCAGTATAGGCCTACTTGTTCCGGTTTGCAGTAGCGCTACTGTGCTGTAACATGGTGTATGCTAGTTCAGCTGTACTGAGCAACGCTGCTAAAATGATGCTACCTTCAGTGACGCTATGCTCTGCTATGCTATGCTCTGCTCTAGATGCAAGACTACATGTTTAATTTAATTTAATTTTAATTTAAATTTAACAGTAATTTACTTTCAAATGCCCCAATTGCTGAAGGGTCTGCACAACTTTTTAGTACAATTTCAAGTTGCACTGTTCAAAATACCTGTAGTAGCACAGCAGTGCATATCTGTTTACATTTAATTAAGGTGGACTAGATTAGACTGTAATACAAATAATTGAGTTTGCCAGGTGCATACAACATTTATGACAGGTTTTCATGAAAGTGTTGGTCAGTTTGTCTGCTTGACAATCCCATTTTGCACTGCAACAATAAAACTGAAGTGAGCTAAACAAACTGAGAAATGTTTCTTTTTAGTTAAAACAGATGTTGTCAAAGTTTTCCTTTGGGGACATAATTTGAAGTTGGAAAAAGGTAATAAATTGCAATATATCACAGAATATCGCAATATATTTAAAATCGCAATAATATTGCATCGTGACACAAGTATCGTGATAATATCATACCGTGAGGCCTCTGGTGATTCCCACCCCTAGTGCGCATTTTAGAGAGCTTCTTAATGAGACAGAGCAGTAATTCACAGTGGACTTCACAGTGAGCACTTGTGTCCGCCCTGTAAATCACCTCTATTCCTGAGAGAGAGCCACATAGGAAACACATAGGCTTTGTGTCACAGAAAGCCTCCATCCACTCCGCAAAACCCCGGCTCTCATAAGAGGAAGTCAAAACAAACAGGTCAGAGATCTGAGCCTGTCATTTGGAGGGCTGGATTAGACTTAATAGCATTTGAGAGGTGTTCGCTGCCCCGTCTGTGACCTGCCCAAAGGGCAGTAGAAGCACAAACAAACAGGAATCAAAGTGTCACAAGTTCGTGTCTCCATTACAGCTTATCTAAAGCTGTGTGTCAGAGAACACGCTCGCGGCGAGAATGAAACACAGACGGTTCTTATTCTCCTTTACGCTCTCACTCATTCGCCCCTCGTAAATGTGATCCAGGAGTTTGACGTGGAGCTGTAATAAAGACGGAGCGAATGTTTACGTGTGCCTTGTATAGACATGAATTATGACAGCGCTTTTGAGGTGAGTTTCCTTCAATATCTCACCCAAAAGGCTGCGGAATCCTGTAACAGTGTTCAATGGGCAGCCAGCCATAGCAAAAAGCTCTATTGAGATTTATACTGAAAACAAGGTTGCAAAGAGCTGAATGGAAACTTGATACTGAGGTATAGAAAAAAAAAAGAGATCATATTCCACATTTTTGTAGAAGTTTTATATTCCTGAAGTTTAAGAAATAAGTCTGTGTACACTGAATACAAAATGCTATAGGAATAGAAACCAAGCTATCAACAAAACTTCCTGTCGCTTGTGGCGGTTTGGCAACAAGTAAAAAAAAAAAAAACTCATGATATTTACATGAAAGTAAGCACACTGTGTCTGGACGTGTTTTAATTTTAGCAAAAGTTCACAAAAAGTACCTTTACATTTTTCCACTGACCATTTTACAACCTCTTTTAGACATTTAGAATTAAACGGTATGCTTTCTCTACAGAATCTTTAGACTATTAATTTAAAAAAACTGACACTTTTATTAAATCGATAAAAAAATGACAGTGAAGACATTCATAATGTAACAAAATGTATATTTCAAATAAATGCTGTTCTGTTTAACTCTTTGTTTTGAACACTTTTTTCATCAAAGAATACTAAATATAAAATGGTTTCCATAAAAAATATTAAGCAGCACAAATGTTTTCAACATTGATAATAATAAGAAATATTTCTTGCACAGCAAATCAGCATATTAGAATTATTTCTGAAGGATCATGTGCCACTGAAGACTGGAGTAATGATGCTGAAAATTCAGCTTTGCATCACAGGAATAAATTACATTTTAAAATATATTCGAATAGAAAACAGTTACATTAATGTAATAATATTTTACTGTTTTTTACTGTATTTTTGATTAAATAAATGCAGCCTTGGTGAGCAGAAGAGACTTTCAAAAACTTAAAGACCCCAAACTTTTCTATATTATGATCTTTCCACATGCACAAAGACTTTGTATAAAGTGACTGAAGTCATAGTACTACTGATATTTTCTTGTCCTTTTTAGCTCCTGCTTTTATTGTATGTTGAAAAAATGCAGCATGAAAAAGTCACGAGCTTAAAGGGTTAGTTCACCCAAAAATGTAAATTCTGTCATTAATTACTCACCCTCGTGTTGTTCGAAACCCGTAAGACCTTCATTCATCTTCGGAACACAATTTAAGATATTTTTGACGAAATCTGAGGGCTCTCTGACCCTCCCATAGACAGCAAGGTAACTACCACGTTCAAGGTCCAGAAAAGTACCAAGATGATCGACAAAGTAGTCCGTGTGTCATCAGTGGCTCAACTGTAAAGTTACGAAGCTACGAGAATACTTTTTGCGCAAAGAAAACAAAAATACTTGTCTACGCGCGTTCACGACAGTACCATGACGCGAGCGTGTGGCGGCACTGACCCAGATCCAGCGTAATGACGTCATCACGCCGGATCTGGGTCAGCGCCGGCGCCGCTACACGCTCACATCATCGTACTGTCGTGAACGCGCGTCCAAAGTGACGCAGTAGTGTCGATCATCTTGGTACTTTTCTGGACCTTGAACGTGGTAGTTACCTTGAGGTCTATGTAGTCCGTGTGACATCAGTGGTTCAACTGTAAAGTTACGAAGCTACGAGAATACTTTTTTGCGCAAAGAAAACAAACGACATCATCACGCCGGATCTGGGTCAGCGCCGGCGCCGCTACACGCTCACATCATCGTACTGTCGTGAACGCGCGTCCAAAGTGACGCAGTAGAGACGAAAATGTGGAATAAAGTCGTTATTTTTGTTTTCTTTGCGCAAAAAAGTATTCTCGTAGCTTCGTAACTTTACAGTTGAACCACTGATGTCACACGGACTACTTTGTCGATCATCTTGGTACTTTTCTGGACCTTGAACGTGGTAGTTACCTTGCTGTCTATGGGAGGGTCAGAGAGCCCTCAGATTTCATCAAAAATATCTTAAATTGTTTTCCGAAGATGAACGAAGGTCTTATGGGTTTGGAACGACATGAGGGTGAGTAATTAATGACAGAATTTGCATTTTTGGGTGAACTAACCCTTTAAGTAAACAATGGCATTTTTAATTTTTTGGTAAACTATTGCTTTAATGTGCTCATGAGTGTGACATCATATCCATGACGATCACTGAATGCCTAATTTTTGCAGTTTAGTTACAATAAATGTTCTGGTGGAACTGGGGCTGTGAACTATGGAGTTTTTCATATTAAACAAAGCTGCATTTTCCATGAAATGTCCCCTTCAAAACACTCCTGCTGCGACTCCATTTGAGAGCTGAGGAATGAAAACAAAGAGTACTTTCTTGGTCTACTACAATTTATAGTCATAACTGGGGACTCTTCCAAAAAAACTCAGCACGAGAAGCCTGGAGAGTCATGGAGACTTCCTCACAGGGAACTTCTCTGGGCACATTAAAGAGTCTGTACAAGCTGTACGAAACGTTAATACGGCAGCGGAAACTTAACATCTGTCCCAGATGAGGACCTGTGTGGATTTGGCCCATGTGTGGGTGCGGGCACGACACTGGTTTGGATTGCTGCATTAGAGGCCGTGTTTATTTGTTCCGCCCCTCTCCGGCTGCTTTCCCTCCATGTTTACACAGAGGCAGAGCTACTGTGAAGGGAGGCTGCCTCAGGAGTACAGGCAGAACCGTTCACATGCAAACCAGCCCAACTGACTAACGTG